CTTTTTGATCAACACTTTTTTGAAGCTGATTTCTCTTCTGTTGTACTCCAAATTATCGCGGTGTTTCCGTACACTGTTGCACTATCAACTGGAAGGGATGTTCTGGTATATCCTGCTGAAATTGCAGTCACCCACTATACTCTTGAACGGGGTGAGCTGAGTTTGAAATAATATTTCATCCTTACAACCTTGAAAAATTCTTACTGTAGACTCGATTTAGTACCTAGAAACTGTTGCCAAAATTTTCTTTACCTAATCGCGAAATGTTGATTTAGGCGTGAGTTCGTGTTTTTCAAGACTGGTCAATTTTTACCCGAAAATGTTTTATGGAACTGGTGTTCCTCCGTGGGATCAGGACAACGTGGCCAAGCAGGGTACTTGTTTTTCTCTTCGGCTATTGTGTGCCTAGTTGTCAGCTGCTAAAGGGCGGTGAATACGATGGCTGAAGGGTGGAGCGGTTTTGATGACGTCATTGGACGTCATTAGTGGAATGGCGTTGGCAGGTGATCCTGCCTACAACCCGTCCTTCATCGCGCTGACTGGTCTGGTCCACCAATGACGTCCAGTGAAGCGCTCCGCCCTCCAACCATCATTTCACTGCCTTTAAATTCTTAGTGGTGTAGTAAATACTGTAGCTCAAGTGTTGAATCGCCGTGTAGCTTCACTTTAAGTGGATGGCACTTCTAGCGACCTCACTGGATGTCTCGTTGAAAGAACCACAAGGAGTCAGTCCTGGAGAAATGTGGAGGCTATTGCAGAAGCAGCGTAGTCCTCGTTCAATCACTATCTGCGACGAAAATGAAATATGGCTGGTTGTAAGGTTTTTGCCATTACTTTTCAACTTTCTAAGCGATTCTGAAAATCTAAGACTGTTCCAAGACTTGTGAAAAGGCATGTTATTGTCTGTCATCCTTTGCTTCCTCCATGTAGGATTTATCTTATATTCCTGCATTGGTAGCAGCCCTTTGCCGGGGCTTTTGGTTGCGCAGAGCGTAGGAACAGTTCTGGTCAGGGTGAAAACCGGTCGAGGATTCGTCGACGACTCGCCGAGAATTTTTGCTCTACAATTGGGTAATTGCCTTTCTTTTATTACGATTTGTAAGAATGCCTTACTACACGAACATATCGCGTTCCTCATTGATAAGGATAAAAGGATAAAGCATTTGGAAAAGCGAGATATCCTTTGAGACTTTCGTAGCAGTTGTCAATTCAAAACTCGAACGTAGACGAATTAGGGTCGGTATGGTATCTGTTACCAAAAATCTCAAGCGTGCGGAACTTTGCTGGAAGTAAGCAAAAGACAAACAGACAACCAGCCCTTTAGCGTTCTTACTGGGCGTCGTAGCTGAATGTTGGGGAGGGGATGGGTCCGGACGGTTGCAACGGACAACTTCAGCTGGCCCCCGCCTCTATTTGAATGCTTACCTCAAGCCTAACGAGGGGAGACGAGCTTGTGAAGTGTGGTCCCTCCTCTCCAAGGCTCAGTCCTGAGGTAAGCAAACTAGCCCTTTTGGCGGAGCTGCTACCTAGCTGCACCACTTCGCCATCACTCTCCTACCGTACCGACCGAGTTCAAGTAGTCCGTCAACCTCGGTAACCCCATCCCCTCCCCCAACATTAGGCATGCAATACGCCCCAGCAGAAATGCCAAAAACAGGCTGTTGCTAACCTCACTTTGCTGCAATCGTCACGCGGTGAGTTTCCTGACCGACATCCTCTTGGATTTTTATCCCCTGCTGATACCATTGGATGCCGACGTGGAAAGGCCATGGCTCCTGTAACGGCAGGTTACGATAGGATTCCCTTGATAATGCAAAGAGAGGGGGGAGGAGGAGGTGAAGGCTGTAGATATAAATGTATCACTCACTCTGTTTGCTCTGTTGGCTGCTGAAGCTTGCGCGGTAATTTGCCTAACAAACTAATTTAACAAGTTTCACACGTTCTGGTGTTTCAATTCCTTTTCATTTAAGGATAGTGCATTGTACTTCTTGGCCAGCACGGCAGGGGTTGATCAGCTTGCGGTACACAAAGGTGATTACTCTCTGTGAGACAATATTAACTTCGTATAATGTATGCTATACGAACTAGTTATCAATTTTACAATTAGCGCTGCTTTAGAGCTAATGGCTGGAATCGTCACTGCGCAAGATCTCATCGCTGCTCTCGCATCACATCACACTCGAGTGAGCAATGATTCTGTCGAGGTCCTAACTCGTGAACGAATCAAGCAGGAGTTTGAGGTTGGTGCCACTAGTTTCACACATGAATATTATTGTCAAAGCACAAAACAAGTTCCTTCGAGAGTGGTCACCGGAGCTTTTTGTTTAAGGTCACGGCTGCATTGATTCATCTTCGCGGCGCAAGGCGAAAAAGTCGAACGGTACCCTAAAAGTATCCATGCTTGACGCGCACAAAATATCATGTGTTTATTCGTCTGATTAATATGCCAAGATTAAAAGAAGTTAAACTGGACTATCCTCTTTGCCTTCTCTGAATCGCTGTTTCTCCATCTTCCTCTCTGAAAGTATGTCGTAATCTGCGCCCTGATTCACTAATCGGACCGTCAATTCAACAATTTTTATTTAGCTGCTGGAAGCAGAGTAAGGGAGTATGAGAGAAGAATAATGCAGCAATAGAGGTACTTTTTCAATAAATGTAAGGAACATCGGTCATTGTTGGTCTGTGATATTATATTTCATCAGTCCTGTAACAGGGTCGGTCCTATCGTTGCTACTTTTCAAAAAGTTTTTACGACCCCCCTCCCTCATGAAATGTTTCATACGACCCCCTCTTTCAAAACAATTTTTACCCCAAAAAATTACCGTCGAGCGGGGGGGGGTATATACTTACCATAAAACCCTACCTTTGCCCCTCATTTTCTAGGGGATATATACGCGCGCTGAAACGGCAAATTTTCTCCCGCGCCGCTCCCCACTCATCACATGCAACTTCTTACAACCGAAGCAAGTACGACCCCCCCTCTACAAACTCATCAAAAACGACCCCCCCGTTGCTACTTGTAGCAACATAGGGTTGACCCTGCCTGAACGTAAAAACTTCGTATAGCTGGATGGTACCGGCGAACCCTGTACTGATCCTCCACTTGTCCAACAAACGCTGATACTTTTTTTATTTCCGCCGCTCTCCTTGAGTGCTTCGGGTGGCCAGCCATTTTTTACAAGTTTTTAGGAGCTGTAGTTTGTTCTGTAAATATTTTTAGTGATATGGTGATAAGGAATATTGGACCAATTGAAATAAAAGGAGGTAAATATCTTTAGATAGGACGAGACATTTCGGGGTTTTTTTCTTTATTTTTTTTTTTTCAGAGTCAGCTTGGAAGAAGGGGGCGAACTCCTTGACAGTACGCTATAGGGACCTCCCCCCCCCCTCGCCCCAAAAAAACGTGACGAGCGTAGCGGCCGGGCGAGCTCCGCATGTTATGAGCTGCCGACTCTGCAGGAGGAGGGGGCAAAGAAGTCACTCTCCTCCATATTCAAAACGGAATTAGTCACACATTGCCATATCGAAACCGGATGAGCCAAATGAAAATTTAAGAGCACATTCTAATTCATCCAGAACTAATGCAATAGCATTTTATTCCGACTACATCATAAGATTTTCCTACGAAAAAAATGGTGCGCAGTGCGATCTCAACGAGTCGTGAAAATCAATACCGTACTTACTTAAGATGCCCTCCGAAACGCCCGTCACTATTGATCAATTGATGAAAATTTCATACATCTCAGGCTCCACATTAACGTCAGGCCGCCTTTGAGCTACTGGCGAAGCGATGGCAGAGTGACGTCTTATTCTAAAACGATGACGGCAATGAAGAAGGGCCTGCTTCCGCTTATTTAGGATTGTCTAAGGCGGCCCCATTGCGACAAAAAATTGGATGATTGCGCCCGACCCCCTCCCCTCCCCGCAGGGTCAATCCTACGTTGTTACTAGTAACAACGGGGGGGTCGTACCTGGTTGAGTTTATAGGAGGGGGGTCGTATCCGCTTCAGTCGCGTGAAAGTACATGTGAGTTTGTGGTGAAAGTGGAGTTTTCACGAGTAGTAGGCTAGGTGAGTTGGGAGCGCATGGGAGAAAAATTCGCCGTTTCAGCGCGCCCCCCCCCCCCCCCCTAGAAAATGAAGCAGTGGGATTATAGGTAAGAAGTGGGGAAAGGAGGGGTAAAATTGTTGAAATTTAGGGAATTTTGGTAAAATTTTACTGTTTCACAGTGGCTATATACCTCTCCGCTCGACGGCATTTTTGGAGGAAAAGGGGGAGTTTCGTGTTGCAGGTGGTAGCCAAATTAAATACTACTTATAGAGAGATATGTGTCGAGGGTCAAAGAAGGGTGTCGTCACAGCATCTGGGAAACTAATCCTTCTATTTTATAAAGCGCTAACTTTGTGTGTCGGTTTGTGTATCTGTATGTGTGTGTGTGTGTGTGTATGTATGTATGTGTGTCCGTCCGCAAAATGAAGTGAGTGAGAAGGAAGCTCATGGGATAAACAAACCGCTAACAAATCGGGTAGCTTACAGGATTTGAGATATCAATGTTTTGTAGCAGGATAGTTGTGATAACACTCTTAGGGCTATATAAACACCTGCTTAGCACACTTCCGTTCATTCCACATGGTGCTGCAGTGGCAGCTGGAGGGCAGTGGAGAGAGGAAGGGAGGATGAAGGGAAGCGAAAAATCTACCGTCATATCATGATTGTGTCCCTTCTACTGTATGAAACACCATTGTGTTGCATACGCGTCACTTCCACGAGGTGTTGGTGTCACAGGAGGAAGGGACCATAGCGGAGGATAGAAAGCTTGCGCAGGAAAGGAAGGTCCCGGCGGTTGACGGGGGACTAATCTGGTTTTTGAAAATACCCACGATATGAGTGACCTCTCTTCCCTCTCCCCTCCCTGTAGGCCACATATCCGTGCACGCAAATGCACACACATCCGTGAAGTGGAATAACAAGTAAATAGAGTCAAGAGTGGATGAATATGAAAGTTGATGTGGGAGTAGCCAGAACTATTATATACATTATTTCAGAGGTTGCGAGAGACAACGGGCTGCTGCAGTTACCACCAGAAGCGACCGCCGAACCATCGATCAAGGCAACTCTGCGCATTGGCTAAAACTGATCTGCTGATGTAAGTTCCTTCCTTTGAACTTAGCGGAGACTATTTTACTGAATCAGTGTATAACAGTCTCATAGTTTTAAATCATAGCTGCCACCCCTGAAGAGGTGGGCACGGAGCCGGATGTTCTTCTTCTTCACTACTCCCTCGATGTTCTTATACGCTCCCCAAGCCGCTCGTTTCCTCCTGCTCAGCTCTGGAGCTAGATCGTTCATCATATTGATTTCCCGACCTAGGTACACGTAGCTGGAGCATTCGGTGATGTTCGTTCCGTTGAGCGTGAATGGGGCATCAGGAACCAATCCGTTTCTCATAAACATCGTCTTCGTTAGGTTCAGCTGTAGACCAACCTTACCACAGGCGCAGTCGAAATCAGCCAGCATTCGCTCCGCTTGCTCGATGTTCGGCGTTATAAGAACGATGTCGTCAGCAAAACGAAGGTGGTGTAGTTGCCGGCCGTCGACCTTCACTCCCATGTCTTCCCATTCCAGTTGACGCATGACGTTCTCGAGAGCGGCGCTGAAGAGTTTGGGCGAGATGGTGTCGCCCTGTCGAACCCCTCTCTTGACGTCGATGATGACCTCCTTGTAGAATGGCGAGATTCTGGTCGTAAAGTTGCTGTGCGCTCAGAACTGAGCAGTACTGAGTAAGGAACGCCTGGTTTGGCTCCAAGCTTCGAATACGGTTTAGTCTCCGATAGAGCTCGAAGGCACACTTTCCTAATAATCAAACAAGGCCCTATACCAACTGCAAAAAGGCGACGTATTGGTAGGTGTTCTGATGGTATTTCCTGTTTTCTTGATAGGTCACTAAATGCCCGTAGTTTCAAAAAAAAACCCAACATCCTCACCATAAGTGCTTTAACAACGGCTATATTTCACTGCTTAAAGTTCTCTCATTTTTCAACAATGATGCTAATAGACATCGTGTGTTAATCCGGTAATTGGTAAACTTCGTGAAGCTTTATCTCCAGCATGAGGATCGCCCAAACAAGCTAACATCGTTCCAAACTAGGTCGACCAATAATGCAGATCAAGGGTTCGTGGTAATTTGCAAATATTCATGTGAAGGTTTTCAGTTCAACGTTAATTTTATTGCTTCAGTGTTGACGAGGGAGAAGAGCCCCGCACCCGCTAACGCAGGACAATCAATATGAGAATGGCAGTTTGCTTGCACTCTTGTACAACTCTTGTTTATTATTAATAATTGTCGAGTTCCAATTCTTCGTTTGTGGGAGAGGTTGGATCTCATCTTTTTTTGGTTGTCATGTAAGTTGTCTTAAAGGCAGGTGACACGATAAATTGGATGTTGAAGTAGGGGAAATGCTATTGTAGAGGGAGCTTGGTCCTTTAAGACAACCATATTGCGCTTCCATCGCCAAGCGTGCTGACAACCATATGTAGCCGCTTCTTCGCTCACGTGTGCTCTCTTAGCCGACGCATTAAGCGCCTCATCCCGTGCCTCTGATATTCCTTCGGCGGGCCCTAGCTCTTTAAGCAGAGTCGGTTTGGGCGTTCAGTCGATGACGTGGTTACGATGTACAGAGATCATTGGGGAAAACATAGCCGGTTCTGCGTGTTGCGCTATGGCACGGTTTGACAACCTACCCTCTTCGCCCCCCTTTAAAAAAGAGAACTGTGCAGAACACGTCCACAATACGCGGCGCTAGTAATCTTGTAACTAGGATTCCTAGTGATATATAATGTATGCTATACGAAGTTATTATATATAGCTTAAAGGCACAACTCAGGCACGGATTTGCGGGGTAAGAGCGATCGATAACGGATGTGAGTGTGCATTGTGAATGGAAATGGAAGAAACAGCGAAAAAAACCCGCGATGAAGCCTAAACAGGAACCTCCACTCTTCCAGTAACATCTCGCCTAGCCTTCAAGGGGAGGTGCAACCGGACGAGTTTTCCGAACTTGATATTAACACTTTGCTAGACCATTGGAAGAGTAGATTTTGAAAATGCAAGGTTTTGCAAAATGATACAACGAATAATAACAATAATAGTGATTTAGATAGAAGAAATTCGGTCATAATGCTGATTTAAAGAAAAAAAACAACAAAAAGGTTTTGCGCAGCGGTTGTGCGCACTGCTGAATCATCTGATCGGAATAACGCCCAACGACCCTACAAGCAACAATGTGGGCGGCCCTCATTTCATGCACACTCGCCTCGCAGCTGCGGCGAACCCCACAGCTGCGGCAAGCCGGCGGACAAAGTCGGCCCGTGCATCTCGTGCAGCTTGGCTTAGAAGACCCTAGCGCCTTTTTCGGGCGCTTTCGTTGCACGGGACTGTTACGTTCGTGATTGTCTGCTGGGGCACTACCTCACAGGACGAAGAGGACCGCTCACACGGATTCTGCCTGGGTATCGTTAAAGAACTTCAATTGCAGGGCAGGCTAATTTTTCATTGCGAGAAACATCCAATTTTGTATAGCCTCGCCCAACCTTTGTGGTGTGTGGTCTGGCACACGACGCGCTTCTGATTTCATGAAGCAGTAGCCTTATTTCGAACATTGATCAACTCATTGTACCATCTGCATTTAGGGAGTGCCACTTGATGGGAAATCCATTACAAAACCCGTCCTTTGTGACCAATTGTGGTGTTTGATTTTTTGTGAATTTCAGTTTCTTCTCCGCCTCCAGGTAATGCTTTCAATTTGGTGTTAGAGGTGTAGACGATAAGCGACCTGAATTTTTACCTCGCAATGGCAAAGGTAATGCCTTCTACTCGTTCTAGAACCATTACTAATATGTTCTTATCAGTCCCCGAGCTGTTTCCAGTATGGTGACCTTGCCGACACCGCTTGCCGTATTTGCGAGTAATTGACGTGACCTGATTCTAGGACGCCTACCTTTGATTCAAGATTTATTTGAAAGAAGTTTCTCCCCTGGTAACATCGTTTCGACTACTTAGAAGATGATCACCACGAGCCACCATCGTGCGAACATTAATGAATGTTCCATTACTTCTAGAAGAATATTAATTTTGCAGTAATGAATTCCATAGCTGTTTGCAGTTTGTTGAAGGAAGCGATTACGATAAAGTGGGAGCACATTGGGAAATTATATGCGTTATACAAAGCAGTTGTTTGGCTGTCGAGAAACGAGTTGTGCTCTTTTATGACGAAGGGAACCCTGGTTATGTTTATGTTATTTACGGCTTGTGGCTCACCAGGCATACGTAGTAATAAGAATTGATTTGGTTGATAGAGCAGTATTAAAACCGTTCTGCCCGCCGCAAAAAAGCTTCCACCTACTGTTCAATTAGTGCCATTGGGGGAACTGATGTTTTAGCCAGCGCACAACGGAGTCACTCGACTAGATCATGATTTGGCATAGTGCCATCAAACGCGTTGCGGCAAACTCGTCCATACGTCCGCCGTCTTAGCTGCTGACCTTTCGTGAGCGAAAACCAACGGCTACACAAGGAGGTGCCGTTTTGCGTTCTCTTGACGAATTTTCTGCTTTTTTCGCCGTTGGCGTGCCATTGAGTACCCCACGTTCCCTCCACCCTCTTCCAGAACCCTATCGTGAGTGCTGCCCTTGGAGGTTCATTCTTATGTAGCATGCAGTGTTAGTGGGTGCATTCACGAAGATGAGCAACAACTCCGAACAGTGAAGAAGAAAGCGGGAGAATACCGTCGAAAAATGTCCCTTTGCGTGATTTGAGTCACTGCGTTAGAAAAGTGCGGTGGACGAGACCATCAAGGGAGAATCGAACTAGAATTGCCTCTTTTAGTTTTTCACATGATAAGTGGGACATTTTCCCCATACCGGTATTTTAGATCAACCGTCATAGTGGTCCAAACCGTCATGTGTACGATTCAAAATTTTTTTTCGGTCCTCCCCGTGGGGGAATTTCATACGATCCTCACCACCATCGGCATCATACCTCCGCCAAACGCCTCCACCACCATAACTGCTACTTAGATAGTACTCTCCTACCACATGAAACACTGCACTCTAACAGCAAAATTCCTTGAGAACTGCTGTCAGTCGTAGAGACTGGAAGGGTCAGCTTCTAATTGAAAGCCCAAAGTCGACCTTTCTATCGCAAGGAAAATAGATGCCTTCTTGATATCGCGAGCGACAGCTGATCATGGCTAGCAATATTAATATAATAAATAAATAATAAATAAATATTGGTGAGTGGAGATACATTGGGCCCGGTTCATATGTTCTTTATTATACCTTTTACTTGTCTATCTCTGCCAGATGTTGAAGCTGCAGTACATGACGGTTGTGCTACTCTTGCTGTGAATATTCGACTAATTTGCCCACCTCTATTCGGAAGTTACTATGATGAGTTAGAGAGCAAGACGATTGCTCAATAACATGTATGTGTTCTCAATTCGTTCCATTATTCTGTTTCTGCGACGAAAGTAATCATTGTGTACAAATTTTTTACTGACTCATTTAAGCTTAGTCTTAGTAACGCTTGATTTTTTACGAACCCCGAGCTAGAAAAGCCCAATGCAGACCTCTTACACTTCTCTTTATACCAGAAAGATGTCTCAGATAAAATATTGATAATTTGTTTTACACAGCCATGAGTATCATCTCCCCCATTCTGAAAGATCATTTTAATATTAAAGTACTTTCGGATGCAGCTCTTTTTCAAGTTTTTAAGCATTCGGAAGCAGAAAACGAAGCAGACCCTCTTCTGAATGCACAGGCTGTACGCGATTCCTCTTCAGCAACGTTGTCTTGACCGACCGACGAACTCGCTGACTGCGTGGCTGGAAAAAAGTTGGCCCTCACAACGATCGTCACTGCTGCACTTCAGAGATCGTATTCCTATAAGGGGGGGAGGGTCCTTTCAGGCAAGCAAACCGAAACGTGACTGACTGCGTGGCTTCATGAAAAAAAGGGTAACCATCACAGCGATCCTCACACGCGCTCTCTGAAAACGGTCCCTTGCATATTGTAGGGACTTATGTGCAGTCCACGAAACCATGTTTCGTTTTCGCTGAACATTTCAGTAGTATCCAAAAAAAGTGGTGAATAATACCTTTGATGGTTCGATCCCCCGCGGCGACTAAATTTTGCAATCAAGGTTGGCGGCCACTTGTTGGCTTCAAAATGGTCCTGACGATGAATTTGACATCTGATTTTGATATTTAGCGCGATTTGGCACCAAACCGTAGGCGCCAACCCAAATGCAAAATTTAGTCGCCACGGGGGATCGAACCCTTAACAGTACCTTATGCTTCTTTTTTACTGCTATAACCGTTCAGCGAAAATGAAACATGGTTTTGTTTCCTGCGTCCCTACAATATGCACAAAACCCGCCCTTTGAAAAAGCGTGGCTTGCCCTTAAACCCCTTTTGGTAGAAGTTCCAAATTACGACGTCATGACCTAATTCCTTGTGGTAGCATGTAGCTAAATTACTTAATATCCCATGATGAAAAGCGACCAAATACTTCCCTGAAAGTGCAACATTACAGGACCTTTGAAATCGGTCACTTCCTTTTGAGGTGCACCACGCACTCTGCTTTATGGATCGAGATCTGGATTGTAGTGGCATTTATTACAGTTTGGCATTCACAATGGACTGATAGAGTGAAGAATAGCTGTTGTTTCTTTCTGTTTCTGCCCTCTCAGAAGAGTTTGATGCTAATCAAACGTAAGCGCAGAGTGACGACTAGGTTGAAGCGCGTGAGATATAAGATTTGCTCCCGAATCGTACATTTGCAACGATGCCGCCTGCCACTGTCGCTAGAGATACGTCATGAGTTACTCCAGAGAAATGGGCTTCGCATCCTGAAATACCGACCAGAGTCAACCCTGCGTTGCGCAGTTCGCAACGGCACGTTGAGAGATCCTCAACGCACGCTGTATGGGCGGAGACGCAGACGGCTCGAGCATGCGAGTGTGAATGTTCGCGCGAGAGAACGTGTCTAATCGGGCGAAACTGCGCAACGTGGCCGTTGAGAACTGCGCAACGCAGGGTTGACTCTGTACCCCCCTTAAGAGATCAGTAGTAATTTTAAATGCTCGTCAATTTCACCCTACTTATCGGAAAAAAACAGAACAGGCGTAAAATTAGTGAAAAGGTTCGCTAGCTTATCTGTACAGATTACAAATTTTGTTTTCTATTTGTGAAATGTTCTCTACGCCCTCCATGGACTGCATGCACTCACTTCTTCAAAGTTCCGCTGAACTGCCTTTTTCAGAGCGTTAATCGCCGGAACAGCTTCTAAGCAAAACAATTATCGTGTAAAAGCTTTCTTAGTAAGCTTGAGCGGTATTTTGAGAAACGACTTCTAGGAACTAGACAAAATTCTGGATGTCGTCACCCGTCAATGTCAAGTATTCTATACAACCTTTCTGAATCTGGCAAACGAATGTCACTTTCCTTTCTGAATCCATGGGTCAAACATGTTGAGGTCCGTACTTTTTCTCAATCGTAATCAAGGCATCAGCCTCACACGAAGGCTTTCTAGCAATAGAAATCATCGAAGGGCTCAGTGAAGCTTAATTTTAACCTTATCTGTCCCTATTTCGCCTTTACCCATACGCCAGAAACCCACGCCACTACCCCCCACCCGTGAAAACCTGAGGCGGCACCCCCGTAGGTGCCACACTCGACCCGACCCCCAGCAACCGTTCACGGCCTCCCGCCCTCGGCGCGAAGAGTACTCTCACGACGCCGCTCTACGTTTTTACCCCTCACCCGGGGGTAGCCAACTGCCCCCCGCATCCCGCCACATGACGCGTGCGTAGAGTCACCTCTCTCACTGCTCTTGCTACATGCCCTCCCAAAGAATCGTGCTAAAATAAGCGCTTTTGACTCTGAGATATGCTAACAGCGTAATGGGATCGTACGAGGACTGGCACACCAACTGCTGGACGAGACCACTCGCTGACCACGGCTCGCTTAGCATAAAACAAAACTGCCTGCCATTACTTCATCAATCATGGCAGACCGAACCCCTCTGGTGAGTAGTGCCAAGTTCTCGTAGCTGAGATCTACTCGGACAGCAAGCCTGACACCAGAGCTGACACAACTGCCGGAATCAATGCCGCCTGGAGCGAATACGAGACTGTCACCGGTGTACTCTGAGGGCAAAAAACGTACTGCCCACCCATAGTGCTACACTTCATTCGCGAGATGGCTTGCATCCTGTACAGAGCCGCGTCTGAACCGACTACGGAGGGGAGGAGGGGGCCATGGAAATATCCCGCGGATGGTTGTGAAAAAAAGGCAGGACGCAAGATCCGAAAGAAGCACCAGTCAACGCCTTTGGTGGTTAAGCATTCCCCTTCCACCCTCTCGCCTCTCCGCATCTACGAGCCAAAGTCACCCAAGAATCTACCACGATGAGCGGTATGCCCTTCTGTTTTCGGAAAACGAGAAGAGCTCGAGGTCATCACAACACACCAACAAGTGACGACGCCAAGAAAAGAAATCCAAAAAACCGCTTTTCTTGCCTTCGTTTTACTTCTGTCTGAAGTCCAGTGTGATCTGCACTCTTCTCGTTTTCCGACAACATATGGGCAAGTCGGCTCAACTGTCCTCTTCGCCCGGTGTTCGTCGAGAGACCGTTGTCGCGAAAATGGATACCCGCTTGCCTCGAAGCACGGTAGCTGGCTCGCGACAGCAAAAGGAAGTTCGTCATACTCCACTGGCTGTTTCAAATCCGGCGCACCCCTGGGATGTCATCAACTTCACGTTTTTTTTGTTTGCTTTCAAATTTCAATCAGTAACACAACACATAGTTACGCACACTTTATTACAAAAAATTCTACATAACAGAACACATTCGTCATATAATTGTGAATGTTCATTCAGCATTGAATTACACAAGCCGACCCGTCGTCAATGGGATCAAAACGCGTCGCGTGAAATAAACAAATGGCTAACATCTTAAAGAAACTCACGTGTCAGTGGAAGAAAAATCAATAATTATCACCATCAATCGTAAAGAATGACTGCATACACGATCATGATCATCATTAAATAAAAGAACAAGAAAGAAAATCATTACAATTCCTATTTGTCACAAACAGAGAGAACATATATAATGAAGTACGATTATAGCATTCATTCAGTAATTCTATCGTGAGAACCAACCACTGAGGGGAGTGAGTTGGTTGTAGCTGTCCATAGCACATCATGAGGGGAGAGCAAACACATTAGAGATGAGTGCAGACAAAGCCATTTCACACATGCCGAGCTGACAAAGCGCCAACGTCGCATCTAGCACCGCCGCATTTGCCACCAGTTAGCAGAGTGCTGCCGGCGGGCGGTGAAGAAAGACGAAAGAGCTTCTGGTGTGAGCAACGAACACAAGAATTCAGGGTACAGAACACAAACACTGTCTCTGTCCCAATAACGCGACGCGCGCCGCCCACCGAACACGGGCCGCCACACCAGAACACACGAGAATCAAAAAAGGATGTGAAGAGAAAATAAACGGAATATATAATATATAAATCGTTAGCTATTTTGTACGTGAAGTCGAATAAGATACACACAAACACTTGACGATAAACTGTAGATAACATGTGACAGAAATAAACTTGAATTGAGTCTCGTAATAGTTGAATGGTTGGCTAGTTGCCAAACCAGTCCTCTGATGGAGGAGCACGATTGCTTTGACGCGGTGCTGCGCCACCAAAACCACCACCACTGCCCTGGAAGCCTCTGGACTTGCTGCCCCCCAAAGCCTCCACCTTGACCCTTCCTTGGTTGCTGCTTACTGGGATACGATGATCGCGGCCTGAAATTATCGAGTTGTGTCGTGCTTTGTCGAAATACTCTCTCCATTATCGAACTTCAAAAATGGTAGGCCACAATCAACGAGAAAAAGCGCCGAAAAGGGTTGGAACGGCAAAATGACCAATTTTCTGCGATCCACTAACAAACACACACGGCATTCAATCAATGGAATCTATGATTGAAACCCCTAACAAGATAAACTGAACGCTCCCGACACTTTCTACCAGCCGCTTCCGCCCGACCCCCACGCCCTCCGCCGCTCCGAGTTCCAAATCGGGCCACATCGCCTGCGACACGCTCAAGCCAATCTGGCAACTCCTGAAGAAATTTTCATAAAAATTTAGACTTCAACGCTAGCAGCATTATGACGCACCTGATTCGCTTCAACGATCAAGTCCATAAGATCTCTAGCGATGTTGCGATTCTTCTCGTTGAAGAACGATGTCGCAAGACCTTAATTAAAAAGAACGTAGACTACCATATGATTGCAAACGTGTCTTAAACCATACTATATTTCCAACACGCAGCCCTGTTGCGTCAATACGATGAACATATTCATCGATTTCTGCAGGTAGATCGTAGTTGATAACATGCTTCACATTAGGGATATCTAACCCTCGAGCTGCAACTGCCCGTAGCTACCAGTATAGGAGTAGCGCCAGTCCTGAAAAGGCAAAAGTAACAGTTTATCAGAGGGCCAGATTAAGCGGTAAAAGACCCTATTTACAAATACAAAGCAAACGCTCACCTGAACGAATCCAAGTGTTTCTCTCTTTCGAACTGCTTCAAGTCTCCATGAATAGCGACCACTTCATAATTATTGTTTGATAAGTAATATGAAAGATCAGAAGCTCCTCGCTTTGTTTCGACAAATACTAGTGTCAGCGAATTTTGGCCTCCTGCGTCTAGTAGGTCCATCAATATGACCGCTTCTCATGCTCTTCAACCCAAACCACCTAAATTGAATATTGAAGTATTGTTGTCATCAAATTTTATGGCATGTTTCGGCATTAGTAGTGCTAAACCGGGAAGAACAAAAATCGTACCTTCTGCATAATATTTTCCGAAGTCGAACCAACCCTACCAACTGCAAGAAATACGTAGTTTGGCATCAGGAAATCTTGTGCGAGCACCTGAACAACATTTTTTGAACTTAGTACTTCCTCAATATGTTACATCCTTCGATTTAGTACCTGAATATCTTTGGGGAACGTCGCGGAGAACATAGCTGTTACGCGATCACCTTTCCGAGGCATAGTAGAAAGATCCACAATCTGAAAGACACAATGCATACTCATCAGTGGCAAACAAATTTGTTCTATATTCAATTCAATAAAGAGGATGCGATTAATTACATTACCGATCCAATAATACCCTCAAGCCAATGAGCCTCCAAACCCAGGATTCTTGGAAAGGATTCTAACTGCTAGATTAAACTCCACCTCAAAACAATAGTACAAGACACAAAAATAGGAGCAAACCTGTCGGATCTGCGGCTCGAAACCCATATCCAACATGCGGTCGGCTTCATCAAGCACGAGGTAACGACAACCTTTCAGACCGATGTATTCTTGATCCATCACGTCAATTAGTCGACCTGGTGTGGCGATCAAAATGTGGCATCCCAGCTGTAAAAAATCTTGATTGGATTACAGGAATAGTTCTCCACAACAATTTTTTTCAACCGTCCAGCTCGTCAAAACAGCAGGCCGTAACAGCAGTGTTTCAACTCCTCCCATTTTGCCACGATTTTCCTTCTATTTCCCCTTTTCTCACAGGCACATCAACCTTCTAGACAACTGCTGAGAATCATCTACACTGCTTTTGCAAAAATATAAATCCACCTGGAAAGTTCTTGAAAATTCGCATGATAGGGTGTTTCTGAAAAAGCCTTTGAAAGAAAAATGTGCTCAATATAAATATAATTTCGAGTGTAAACACCAACTTCCATTTCGAAAACACGAAAATTTTTTATTTTCATTTTTCAGAAAAGGGCCACTTTGCCGATTGTGCAAAAATATAAATCCACCCCATGTTTCTCGGTTGAACTTCATTGTTATTTGGCGTAACTGTCAGGTTGTTTCCACTTCCTCTTTCTTAGGTGATGACGGAAGCAACACCGCTAATCGGACTCCGAAAAAAAGGCGAAATCTGCAAAAGAGTGGGGAGATTTGCCATGCAGACAACCGCGCGTGATTTGAGCACCGCTTATGTGGTTGTTGAGCATTTTGTCAAGAATCCTGCAGCATGTGGAATCCAGAAGAGCACTGAACCCTTTTCTTCGTGTTTTTGGGTGCGATGACCGTAGTTTTATAGGAACAGCAGCCGATTCTCCCAAGAGGTGCTCGGGAACTCAGCCTTCAAAAAAGCCTAATTTCAGGAAAGCCACCGTTTGGCGTGTGTTAGAAGAACTCTGAGACCACTCTTCGACGGAAAATGAGTATGGCACAGTTGAAGACACAAAGCCATCCCA